CTAGAAATTTATGGCATATATCAAAATACTTCATTATATAAATATAAATTTATTTAAATTTGTATTTTATAATTAAATATAATAGATAAAAAATTCACCTTTTAAAACACTCCAAATATCTATATTTAATGAATGCAAATGTTTTCGACCTAGTTGATAGGTCTTTATCAGTTAAATATTTGTATGTTTAATAACTATTGTGTGTTGGATAACTTATGAAGACCTATCAACTAGAATGAAATTGTTTTCATTCATCAAATATAAATTGCTGGAGTAATTTAAGATGTAAATTTTTTTATATAGAAGTTCTTTCTGCAGCTTATTCTGCGATTTCTTTGAGACATAATTAACAAAATAGCAATTTTTTAAGGCAGGCAAGCTATTAAAATAATATTTCATCCTTAATTCTTATATGATAATGGCATGAAATTTGTTTAAAATAATAAAATCTAAATAAATATGACAAAACAAAGGCCATAGTCAAATATTTTACTTTAAATCAATAACAACTGCTACGTTACATTGGGCAGGTGGCAGTTGCGGGTTTGAGTCCCACTCTGGGCTGATTCTTTTCTTCCAGTTTAATCTAAAATTATTTAATTAAATTATAATTATTAAATTTATTACAAGATGGTGCCTAACATATCCCTCTTGGGTCAAATTTATTAGTAATTCATAATTATTTTACTATATAGTAAAATTATCAGCACAAAACTTTTCTCACTAATTTCTAGCCTTATTAACTAGCCTTATTATTAAGTGAGAAAGGTTTTGTGCTGATAATCTTAGAAATAGTTCTACCTACATATGCATAGTAGTATATAGTAAAATATTTGAGTATGACCTTTATGTACTTGGTGTGTTCAAAAAGTATCGGACCTTTGGTCGGAAAAAATAAATTTATTGACTTTGAGGTACAAAACCCTAATCCCCTTCAAAGTAGTCTCCTTGGTAATGTATACACTTCTCCCAGCGTTCCTGCCATTGCTGGAAACACTGCTGGAACGCATCTTTTGGAATGGTTATCAGCCGGTCCGTCGCATTTCGCATGATGTCTTCTCTCGACTAAATTTGGGTTCCTTTTAGCGGCATTTTCAGCTTGAGAAATAGCCAAAGGTCACACGGAGCCATGTGGAGAGAGTACGGAGCGTGACGAACCACAGGAGTATTGTGTTTGGCGACGAAAGCCCGAATCAGATGCGCAGAATGGGCGGATGCGTTATCACGATGGAGCTGCCAAGTTTTGATCGACCACAGATCCGGTCGTTTGCGTCGCACTGTATCGGAAAGACGACGAAGGACCTCCTGGTAGTACTCCTTTGCGATGGTTTGGCCTTGTGGTGCGTACTCACGACACACCACCCCACGAGAGTCGAAAAAACTGTCAACATGACCTTTGATATTGCTGCGGACCTGCCGCGCTTTTTTTGGCCTCGAGGATCGTCCCCGAAAGCCTGCTGAATCTTGCGAATGGTTTACGCTTGGGTATCGCCAAGGTTTTTGGCAAAATTTGATGTAATATCGCTGCTCATGTTGTTCAGTCATTTTCCAGCTTAGTGGAATCCAACGAGAGCGCACTACATGACCTCACTCATAGGCCGATTGCCAACGACTGATGCTTCCTGCAGGTGGGAAAAAATTCAGGGCTGTGCATGACTGTCCCCTCCACAACTCCACCGAAGGAGGCCTCTCGCGCATCATTGGTTTACGTGGAGAAAAAAAAGGTCCGATACTTTTTGAACAGACCTCGTATACCCAATGCAAATATATAAATTTCTCACTGCACAGTAACGTTTCAGACATCCTGTATAATTGGCCAAATGGTTATATTGTAAGATATTGGCCTATCATCTCAATACAGTTTCTAATTTGATCTGATCCCCTAATTTAACATGCATAGTTTGGGTTGAGACAGTGCTTCTCATATCTCTCTTGCTGGCCAACCACATTGTAATGAGAAAAATTGTGGTTTATATGCTTTAATATGTGGTTATGTGATAAGCAATATATTAGGTGTATAATTCTATTTCTTTGTAGTGAACATGTTGGTTCTTTTATGCTTTGTAAAACTAAACAGAAGGTAACAAACATAAATTTATTAGAGAGGTTGTGACCGATGTTTTCATCGTGAAAATGTGTACATCGGATGTTCAGCGCCGCCTTCCTGTTAGCCTAGAAGTTTGACAATGGCATTTGATATATCGAGCATGATTCGACTGACATTCCAAACGCCATTGTCAAACTTGTAGGCTTACAGGAAGGCGGCACTGAATGTCCGACATACACGTTTTCGCGACAAAATCGTCAGCTGCAACCTCTCTATTATTAGTAGAGTGTATCTAGATATTTTCATACATTATTATAAAAATTCAGTTGTGTTGTTTTTAATAACAATGCTAAAAAAAAAAAATAGATATTAACAAGGGGAAAACGGGAGGTTGTCATCACCGATTTCGACGAAATTTTGTGGATGTGTAGTATTTACTCATACTTAAACACTGCCAAAGCTGCAGGACCCACCATTCACGCATTCTCGAGAAAATCACAATTAAAGTTTTTCTAGAACTATTGATAATCTATGCAGAAGCGCCACTCACGTGTTAATGGCATGGCGTGATTAGTTAAGGCGATGGTCAAGAGCATTACTATGTTGGTTTGAATCTTGCATGTGAGAATTTTTTTTTCTTGTATATTTATAATTTAATGTTATTGTTATTAAATTTGTTATGTAAAATTCTTATGCCACTTTTGTTTATTGAATTTAAAATTTATTATTATTATTATTTATAAAATATTAGGGAATTCAAAAATTATTTTTCAACAATCTTTACAGTTTGTTATTAACATTTTTGAAAATATTTCTTTCGCGTATTATTTGAGATGAAAACCACACACATTTTAACATGCCACAAAAAACCGGGGTGCTGAACTGGTTGTGAATTAGAGAGTATATTTTAATATCTTTCCTATTGGTTTTAAGGAGATAGCTACAGTGGTACTTCTTCCTGCACACTAGTGCTCATTGATGCCATAGAGATATCCATATCTCACAAACCAAATACAGTACAGTATAAGCAAAAATGTCTTCTATAAATATTTGTCTGGTATGAATTAATATTTTTATTTATATTGTCCATCACTGGGGTCACTGATGAATAAAAAGAGAAAAGTCGACCTTCCCTTTCTACATCAAAGGGTTACTCGATGAACTCTAGCGGTACCTTGATCTCTCCTGTAAAAACGAACCATCCAGGCAGAAAGCATAATCTTTTTTTGTCTAGTTTTCTTTCCTGATTAGATTAGGTCTAACAACCTACTAATATATTATTTATACTGTATACAGGTGTATCAGTACAGCGGTTACAAACTTTCGGGAGAGATAGAGTACACCTAGACGATGGGAAATCACATAGCAAGGCATGGTCAGAAACGCTTTCCTGAAACTTGTTGCATGCATTGTGGCAGCTGCTGGAGAAGTCCGGGACACAACTGGTATTTTTGACAACGTTAGATCTTCAATGTGCCGGAGATCTGAGGCTTGCATCACGGCCCGGAGTTGTAATTTCAAACACCTTCTTTGATTTTTGCTGTACTAAGAATAATAAACATGTTTTCTCACCCTGTTTGTGTCCTTCCTTTCTTGTGTTTTGTGTCATCACTACCGCACCCGGAAAGGACCTCGTATACCCAATGCAAATATATAAATTTCTCACTGCACAGTAACGTTTCAGACATCCTGTATAATTGGCCAAATGGTTATATTGTAAGATGTTGGCCTATCATCTCAATACAGTTTCTAATTTGATCTGATCCCCTAATTTAACATGCATAGTTTGGGTTGAGACAGTGCTTCTCATATCTCTCTTGCTGGCCAACCACATTGTAATGAGAAAAATTGTGGTTTATATGCTTTAATATGTGGTTATGTGATAAGCAATATATTAGGTGTATAATTCTATTTCTTTGTAGTGAACATGTTGGTTCTTTTATGCTTTGTAAAACTAAACAGAAGGTAACAAACATAAATTTATTAGAGAGGTTGTGACCGATGTTTTCATCGTGAAAATGTGTACATCGGATGTTCAGCGCCGCCTTCCTGTTAGCCTAGAAGTTTGACAATGGCATTTGATATATCGAGCATGATTCGACTGACATTCCAAACGCCATTGTCAAACTTGTAGGCTTACAGGAAGGCGGCACTGAATGTCCGACATACACGTTTTCGCGACAAAATCGTCAGCTGCAACCTCTCTATTATTAGTAGAGTGTATCTAGATATTTTCATACATTATTATAAAAATTCAGTTGTGTTGTTTTTAATAACAATGCTAAAAAAAAAATAGATATTAACAAGNCTGTACTGATACACCCTGCATAATGTATTTTTTGTATTTTTGCTGGAAAGAATACAGATAGTGTTGAATTGCTTATTACATCTCCTGATCCTTACATATGAAATGTAATATAAATCTGTTGATATATATAATATATCTTACATTATATTAAACAATACAAAATGTGATTATAATGTTACATGTATTTTATATATATATGGAATGATCAAAATAAGAAATAAATTTTCAATGAGTTTAAATCTGTTATGTACAGTTTTTAATAACAATAAGATTAAATTATTGTATGCAGGATTTGAATTTGTATAGTAACGCTCTTCAGGCAACGCCTTAACTAATCACTCCACACCACTAACACGTGAATGGTGCTTCTGCATAGGTATTAATAGTTTTAGGAAAACCTTAATCACTATTTTCTTGAGAATGCCTGAATAGTGGGTCCTGCAGCTTTAGTTGCGTTTAAGTACAAGTAAATACTACACATCCACAAAATTTTGTCAAAATTGGTGATGACAACCTCCCAGGTTCCCCTTGTAAGAACACGCATAGAAACAACTATTAAATTAGCTGGAAATTTTTCAGCATACAAAGGTTTTGGAGATTATTATTAATTCAAACAAACAAATTACAGTAAATATTATATGATACCTGTAACGGGAAGTCTGTGATGCAAAAGTCTACTACTTCTTGACAATAGTGTGGATCTAAGTAGATTAATTTATCATCTGAGAAATAAAAAGATAAATTAAAATGTTGGAAGTAATATAAAACACTAATTAGAAGTTCCAAAACATTACCTTGCCATCCAATGAAGTAAAGCGAGTGCCTCGGACGGCCACCGATAATCCCTATGCAGTGTTCCTGAGTTAGCATGTCTCTGACTCGTGGGATATAGCTGCGATTTAGGATCTCGCCTCCGAGCCTTACGGGTACGAGAATAATTGTACTCTTCCATCTCGAACAGTGTTCGCTGTTAGAACTGCTGCTACTACATAGAAAATCTACAGACTCGGTATTGCATTCACCATTGTTTTCTTCTTGTGTAGCCGAACAATTAGTTTCTTCGGATGAAGGCGGAGGGACGGATGCAGAACGTAGCAAAAATGACCTCCTTTCACTACAGCTATTTCTTTTTTGCTTTACATTTTTTGTATCTAGCTGTTCCAAATTATTTACATAATTGAAAAAGGCTGAACAACTTTCACTTTTGGAAATGTCTTCCACGTTTGTCCTTTCACAGTTTGTTGCATAATCACAAAATACAGACGTTTGCGCTGTTGTTACGTTGGTATTTTCTTCTTTGTTCGATCCCAAAGAATGATTAATATTATTAATTGTGTGTTTATCCTGTTTCCCAAATATAGAAAACGTATTTCTTGTGTTATCAGGGAACATAGAAGGACTGATACAATAATTATCGGATAACTGTTTGTACACTTGCTGAATATTATTTACAGGATCGTCCTGTCCCAGTTCTTTAGTGTCTTTTTCATTATGTACGCCATTTGAACAATGTACATTTATTTTTATGGATGAACTTTGTGATTGATTAGCTGCAAAATTCATTTTTGTTTCAGAATAATCGTGTCTAATATCACAGCAACAACTTTTATTTGAAAGATTTTGCTTATCATCCGACAAACTGTTGTCACAGAAACTCCGCTTCTTCTGCAAGGCCGTGCACAGATCAAAGACATCTTGTTTATAAACTAAAAAAAAATAATAATAATAATTAACTGTTATTGCGATTTCTGTCTGTTAATATAATAAAATTAATTGAAGTTTTACTTGTGCAATCTTGTGCAACATAGATGCATATACTATCCAATAATGGTATTTCTTTTGCAGCATTCTCAACTGCTTGCCTAGAATATTGTAATTAAATTTTATTAGTAAAAGACATGGAAAATTTATGCATCTCGATGCCAAAGACTCACTTCAGAATGTATGCTACGCTTGCTGGACCATACCACTCTCCAGCTTTCTTTCCAGAGTTTTCACCGAGCGATACCAATTTATGTACAGAAAACGGACTGCCAGAACACGGATGGTCCGCAAACCACTTAATGATCATTCTGTGGTACACTTCGTTCATGGGTGTTTGAGAAGTGTTCCATTTCCACTCTATTCCACAAAGAAACTTTTGAATTTGTAGTTGGTAATTAATTATTCATATTAATGGAGTAAAAAAAAATAGTACCTCGTCCCAAAAAGTGGCAAACCAGAGCCTGTGCCAAAAGCATCTGTCCGCTCCGAAGCATGCATCCCCATCCGCAGTCCGTCGTCAGATTAGATCCGGCTAAGGTGGGGAATTCGCGTCTGTAAGTGAACCATATTCTACTGGAGAAATCTTGTTTAAACAACTCCATACTTGTGTTTCTAGTAGCAAAGTCACTTTCTTGTCCTAAAAGATAGAAAAAGCATGCCATTTATAAATGTTTATCAACTACAAACTAAAACACTGACTGGATATTCTAACAACTGTACATTTACTAACCTTGAAGTTTTTTATGATAACATTTTCCCAGCAACCAAATAGGTGATTCGTAGCTGAAGTTAGTTTTAACCTTGACTGTCCAACCTGGTCAAACAAAATTATACAATGAAGTGACAAAAAATAAACATTAAACAGCTTTGAATTTAAAATATGATAATTTAAACCTATCAAAACCCGTTTGATAAAGTTTTTGTAGGATATCCGGTACAAAAAAGTGCCAATATCCAATTACAGAATTGCTTATGGAACCACACAGATTTCAAATAATACAGTATTGAAATACATAATTGTCAAAAGGAGTCATCCCTCTGATTGTGAGCTATTTGCCTGCAGAGTTTTCGGGTTTGTTAAACGTGCGATATGCTTAACGGAGCTGCAGCACGATGCCAATTGCCGCCCCAGAAGTCAGTGCGATGGCATTTCTCACGTTTTATGAGCTTTTAGCAGTCTCTAGTAAAATGGAAAATAGTTGACTTTTAGCATTGTTTTAAGAAATAGTTCTGGATTTTTTTACATTTTAAAATTTTAATCCACGTTTGAGGGTCTTTGAAATTCTAGATGGGGCTATATCTTGCAAGTAGACCTTTGACATTTTTATTCCTATGGGCACGTTCTACAGCACTTAAGTCCCAACTGCATCATTCAGAGCTGCATTTGTACCACACGGTAAATATATTTGCTTATTACTCGGATCAGGAGTTTGCGTCAGTTCATATCTCACAAAATTTATGCACGCAATTTGATCCGAACGTATTAAGCTCCGTCCTCACTACTCAATTATCCCGTTGAACTTTTACATCATTTCGTAACCATTCTTTAATTCCCCAATTGCATACTTTCATCCTCACGAATTAACATAATTATTATATAGAACCATATAACATTTGAGTCACAAGCTATATAAAAATAACAGAACCCCGTTATAATCTGGTAGACGGAATAAAAAATACGTAACTTTTTTTATTACGAAATAAACAAAAATAGACTAAAGCAAGAAAAAAACAGCTTCGTCATCCATAAAAGTCATAGTCTAATGAAATCTCCCAATTGCAATATTTAGAAAGCGATGATTATCTCATGCTCTACCTCTAGAAATTTAGAAAGTATATTTTTATTTGCATTAAACTAGATTTTTTATTCATTTTATATATATATATAACAGAGAAAACAAAGGCAGTTAACTGTTTTCTAAACACCCAATTTCATATTTTCATTACATACACAAATATTTTAAATATCAACAAAAATATTGCCTTAAATGAATAATTAATGTTACAAAACATGTAGTTGTGTGTAATACAATGCATTGATTTACTTGATGCAATGTATTAATATGTTAGTTTACGTTCTAGATATTACAGATAATGCGGAAATTCAGTCCGAATGTTTTTTTTTCCAACATTCGGCAAGTTCAACACTATCTAAAGTAAATTTTGTTGTCTCGATTGAAACTGAAAAATTTAAAACGTAATTTGTTTGGCATTTTGTAATTTTGTACGTACATTTTTTAAATTTACAGATTAAAAATTAAATCTCTCTGAACGTCGCATCATCTGATGCAAAACCTACTTCATTTATAAACTTATGCTTCGTATGCCGAAGCTTAAAACTTAGGAAACTTTTTACAGAATGATATTTACTCGAGACAGACATTCCACATGTTCGATATTTGCCGAATAATTACCTTTTGTCCTCTTCAATTCGGCACAATATACCAACTGGGAGTGGGAAACTGAAAGTACCGAATTTCAGTCGCAATTAAATCGTCTGCATCACTCTATATCAGTTAAACATTTGCTCGGTATTTGGCAAACATCTAATATGCAGAGCCGACTTAAAATTTAAACTCTTTATTTGGGTACGAAACGGAGCATCGGAATCGATAAGTATATACGTTGGGAGAAGGTGGCATGTTACCGTTTCGCGAAGCTCAAGCAAATTTGAATTAGGGGACTCCATGTACGACGTAGGCTTTGGACATTTTTATTCGGGGAATGTTTTAGGGGAAATATTTTATTATAAAAGATTGGTTTGCATGTAGGATAACGCGCCACCATCGGGGATCAGGCAGACTAGTAAGGAAAATTTATAATTGGGTTTCGAGTCAATATAAAGTGTACTTATTGCCTATGGCGTACTCATTTATACTCCTAATTTTTGTCGTACAATATCAAATAGAAATATATATTTTTCGGAAGGGGATGATTTGCTGGCCCAAAAATATCGCGGTTTGTTTCACGGGTGTCGATGCATCCTCGACAGATCGAGGCCCGCAAAACAAAACCCTCGACGCATCCGAAGCATAACGTTTCCAACCCATCGAATGCAGAACCAACAGTCCGAACGAACAACCGTAACGTAAATTCGAATTCTCGTTAAGTATCGAGACTCGATAAACCGCTCTCCCAAACCAAAATACTAAATTTTTGATACGAGAGAGAGCGGAATTTATCGGAAACACTTACGAAACGAGCAATTTACCGAGTTGCAACTCCCGGTGCAGTCTCCGCAGAGAACTATGCCCGGTCGACGTCGCCTCGTTAAATTAGTGCTCTGTCGTCGTCGTAATCATCCACTCGAGAACCGACGATTTAAATCGTAACGAGTACGGCTAAGCGGGTCGAATTCCGGGCGGAATCTTAAATAATCAGACACAATCGACGTCTGCTAATTACTCGACCCAATTTTATGCCAGAACGGTGTCAGACGGCTCGAGATTATCAAAGAGAAGACATAAACGGTGCCAGTTATTGGGGACGATGATGATGATGATAAAGATGATTAAAATCTTACACCCATCCTTACCATACTTCATGTTATTCCACATAGACATCAGCTTAGTCTTTACTTTATCAGAATTATCGGTTTCTGAGTGGCAACTGCTGTTTGTTTTCGTTTTATCTCCATCGATCCTGGAGGATGCAGACGACGAAGGAGGCGATGACGTCGTAACGCCGTGGCGATAGCCCGAAGCGATTTGGCGATTGGTTTCCGTCGCTCTGGTCGTCCCAGCGTTGTCGTGGAAGTAGCCGGGGCGTATGTTCGACAGCCATTTCGGGTTAAAGTCGTCTCGACGGGCATCCATCTTTAAACAACCGGGCCCTGTTTCGTCACGTGACCGAGCGGCCGCGCGCTTGCTCGTTCTTTCGTCTTGCGCACGTTACGAACAGACGATAGCGGAAACGTTTTCGTGACGTATATACTATCGGACGGGTTTTTTCCCCGCTGCGTGGGGATTTTTTCGTTTTTATTTTATTTATTTATTTATTTTTTCTTTTGAAGTGGGTTGTCGTCGTTCTCGCCAGGGAAAATTCTTGGAATGGTTTCGACTTTTTGAAATTTTTATTAGAAATTTTACGATTTTACAAGTGATTTCTGTTGTTAAATTAATTTAATATTAATTTTTTTGTTTAGGGAAATAATAATATTCTTTGAGAGAATTTAAGGCTTTTTCTTTTTTTTCTTTTTTTGAAAAACATGTCTGTTTCCATTCCGGTACTTATTCGAATTTCTGTTTACACTTCTTATGTAGCGGCGCATAGAATATTTAACAGAATAAAATTTAAAAATTTGGCCATTGGAACCAAATTTTTTTCTCGTTAATTAATTAATCTGAACAATATGTAAGTCGACCCCCTATAACACTGTTGATTTTTCCGTTTTATATGAATTCCATGTTGTACGAGTCACTTAGATTTTATAAATACGTGTGCCGGGCTGCTTTATATATTCGAGACGGACTACTTATAAAAAGTTCTTGGGTTTTTCTACTCCTGATTTGATCGTGGGTTCATCGGGACAGTAGGCTGACGTCTTCTTAACTGTCTCGACCATGTGCTATGGCAGTGGTGCACTCGGGATTTAATTTTGGGGGAGCCGAGTTGCAATTTTTTATGCGAATTCGATTAAATTACTACCGTATGTGATCGCTAATTTATAAGTAGTGCAGAAATAGAAGACATGATATAATATAAATAATAAAAAAAGAATTTTAATTAAAAACAGATTTTTGGAAAATTTTCTAGTATTTGTTTTAATTTTTCTCTACTGTATTTCTACAGTTTTCATAAGTCTCCTAGAAGGCCTGCCGGGTGGCCAAAGTGGCTAAGTTGCAGGTTACAACTCTGAGCGACCCAGGACCGAATACAAAAGGGTAACACCTAGAATTTTTTGAAAATAGTCTGTTCCAGATACGTCGCGTCCATCTCTCACCAACCGGCCGCCCTATAGTGGGCCAAACCAATGATGGCTATGATTAAAAGATTCTATTAGTGTCCACTGGTGTAAAGGTTATACCACTCCTATTGTTTGACTGCCAAAAACTTGTCAGGAATATGGTCGTACTTCAGACGTTCGCCACCAGGTGCCATCTTATCGGGAAGTCCATTTTGTATTGTCGTTTACCATTTACTATCACTTCGCTCGACGGTGTTTTTAAGAAATTCTTACAAAATCAAATCTGCGTCAAGTCCCTTCAGCCACGCCGTGACGGCTTGCAGAACTTTCATATCGGTTTGGAATCGCCTACCACACAGATGTTTCTTCAATAGTCAGAAGAGATGAAAATCACAGGGTGCCAGGTTGGAGCTGTAAGGAGGATGTTCTAGTACCTCCCACTTGAAGCACAGTAACAATTCAGTTTGCCCAGTTTTCACATCTGTCCTGCCTTTATCGAACTCAGTGCACCAAACCCACACCTGTTTTTTTTAACAAGACATTACCACCGTACACCACAACAAGTTGACGATGAATTTCTACTGACCCTTCAGACCGAATCACACTACTCACTTCCACGTTTGATCACGTTTCTGTGAGCGCAGCCATTTTCAAAATGATATTGCGAGAGTCTGACGCAACATTTGCATCATCTAACGCCTGTGCGATAAAACTGTAGTCTTCTGCTGCTGCCCTAATGGGAAATTCGAACAAGAGGAGGAATATGACACCCACGAGAGCTCTCGTTACCTCACTTTTGAATCACCCTCTTATTAAATTTAATAAACTCACTGTAAATTATCTCAGTTTTACACCGATTAACATCGGCTTTGTGTGAAATTTGAAAGGAAGGTGTTATTTTTAAGGTCAGGGGTTTTTTTTAATAACTTTTTCCACCCTGCGGGCACTAAGAGAGCCTATTTTGGCAAGCCCATTATGAGACGGCCGGATTGTTGAGCGGTCAAGAGCTCTGGAGGACACGAGAANTTTAATTTGATAAAAAAGTTTTCCAGACAATCTCGATTTAAATTGTGAGTGCATACGTTTCATTGATAATAATAATTGATTCATAATAAACGTTTCATTGATAATAATAATTGATTCATAATAAACGTTTCATTGATATTCACATTCAATTCTTTCCATAAACTTATGTAACTGCAACTACAGTCACTGACGTAAGCTACTACATTATACGATAGTAAATAAAGTTCTGCTATTAATTTTAAAAGTATTTCTCTTGTCATTTTTTGATCAAACCCGATGTAAACAGGTTGCTTCCAATTTGAAAAAAAGAAGGTTATTATTGCAACCGTACACAGCACACCTAGTACTCAGCATTTTGTTCTTCACCTATATGTCATAATTGTCTGTCATTTATATGATTAAATGAATTAATTAATACATGTTGCAGAAATATAATTTTTATGTATTGAATAATTTTAGATATCTCTAATAGCAGTGTCTTTGATAAAGGAGTCCAGAAGTATTAAAATCTTGCAATCTGGTCTGCTGGAATCTTCAGGGTGTGGCTTTGTTAAGCCATGTTTCTTCTGCCTTTCCTTTCTCTTCATTACTTGTGACCACGTCTTATGGAAAAACCCCACTTCCGGCCTTTGTTTACTTAACTACGATGTGGTTGGTTAAACCATGTGGTCCGATCTGTGTTAGACAATAGGGACTGACGCTTGATTGGTCGAAGGGGGTGACGGACAAGGTGGACAAAAAGGAGGTCCGAACAGGAAGAGAATCAGTTCAGGACGAGACTGTGTGGAGCGAGGACACGTTAGGACAAGCTAGGAAGGAAAGAAGTCGTCACGTGGAGGATCTGAGGTTTTTTTTCTTTTGACCGACCAGTCACCCCTTTATTCTCCATTCTTTATGATTTTTCGTTTTCCATCTTTCTCTAAATTTTTGGGCCCTAGGTTTAAAGTAATTAGTTAAGTTAGATTTAAACTAGACTAAGATTTTATTGTCGGCTGAACGTGGGATCCACGTGCTGTGTCGGGCGAGAGTTCAGACCTAGTATTGTACAACCTAGTTTTAAGTATCGTTATTTGCCTATTTGGAGTCTGGAATTTTTTGTTAATAAATTATATCAAAGCCGAATTATCCTTTGGGAGTCAATTATTTATCGTTCGGCTACAAGGGCTTGCGTTTATCCCAAGTATCACTTGCGGCAGAATGTGTTATATCTACACAAAAGCAATTTTTTCTAAATTTACGTTTACTCTGTCACTTACCAAATTTCATTGTTAATTGCTAAATCAGGGAAAAGCCACACAATAGGGGAGAATCTTATAAAGCCCTCAATTTCTGCTTTCATGAAAACTGTTCTAGAAAAAGATGACGAGGATGTAAAAGCGATGCCTCTCAGTAACAATACTGTCAGCCGAAGGATCGACGAGATGGGCGAAGACATTGAGAAACAACTCGTATCGAAACTAAAAACCAGAAATTTCTCTGTGCAGATGGACGAGTCAACCCTAAGAGACAGTGAGGCCGTTCTTATCACTTATGTCAGGTATATTGAACGTGGACAGTTTGCAGAAGAAATGCTTTTTTGTAAACAATTAGAAAGCACTACCAAATCGAGAGACATTTACAACATATTCAAATGCTACTTGGATGACAATGAGATCCCCATGAAGAATGTTATTTCGTGTGCTGCCGATGGTGCCCCCAATATGATGGGCAAAAAAAATGGTTGTTTACAATTGATGAAAGCTGATAATCCAGAAATGATACTTATTCACTGTGTTATCCATAAAGAAAACTTGGTGGCTAAAAACGTGTCTCCTATTCTCAATGAAGTACTCAATGCAGTTATCAAATGCATTAACTCAATAAAAGCCAGCGCTAAAACCGAGCGCTTATTTAAGCTATTTTGTGAGGAACAAAATGAAGACCACGTACGATTGTTACTACACACTGAAGTAAGGTGGCTTTCAAAAGGGAATTGTTTGAAACGATTTATTGAGTTGTTCGATTCGCTTGAAAAGTTTTTAATTGATAAGCCTGAAATGAAATTATTGTTGACAACAAATGGCAAAGCATATGTAAGTTATTTAGCCGATATCTTTGAGAAGCTAAATTTGTTAAACAAGCAACTGCAAGGACCAAACAAAACACTGGTTGATGCCAAAGCAAAAATATTTGGTTTTATTAAGAATTTAGAATTAAATCAAAAACACGTCAGCAACAAAAATTTTGAACAGTTTCATTGGCTTAACAAGTGTGATGTTTCTGACTCCGCAATACTTGAAATTGTTAATCATTTAAAAATTTTAATTACGGATTTTAAAGAGAGATTTGCTGATTTAAAAGAAATGAATTTTCCGACATGGATGGTGCAACCAGTTTTGGTGGATTTAGCTGATATATCCAATCTGCAATATCAAGAAGAACTCGCGGAGTTGCAAAGTGACGAATCTGTAATAACTCTATTTAATATTAAAGGTGCGATGGCATGGCTTTGCGATGAAACACAGGCTAAATACCCCAATACCACAAAATGTGCAAGGAAACTCTTATTACCATTTCCATCTTCATATCTAGCTGAATGTGGCTTTAGTGCTGTGAGTGATTTGTTGATTAAAAAAGTTTGGGAAACACTGATGTAAACAGAGAGGTCAGGACACGTGCTGACGTCACTAACTTGCCATTCCTGGCTAACATTGCAGAATAGGGATCTGGCTATCCTTGTAGTATACAGTCCTTGGTCTCGACTATGTGCTATGGCAGTGGTGCACTCGGGATTTAATTTTGGGGGAGCCGAGTTGCAATTTTTTATGCGAATTCGATGAAATTACTACCGTATGTGATCGCTAATTTATAAGTAGTGCAGAAATAGAAGACATGATATAATATAAATAATAAAAAAAGAATTTTAATTAAAAACAGATTTTTGGAAAATTTTCTAGTATTTGTTTTAATTTTTCTCTACTGTATTTCTACAGTTTTCATAAGTCTCCTAGAAGGCCTGCCGGGTGGCCAAAGTGGCTAAGTTGCAGGTTACAACTCTGAGCGACCCAGGACCGAATACAAAAGGGTAACACCTAGAATTTTTTGAAAATAGTCTGTTCCAGATACGTCGCGTCCATTTCTCACCAACCGGCCGCCCTATAGTGGGCCAAACCAATGATGGCTATGATTAAAAGATTCTATTAGTGTCCACTGGTGTAAAGGTTATACCACTCCTATTGTTTGACTGCCAAAAACTTGTCAGGAATATGGTCGTACTTCAGACGTTCGCCACCAGGTGCCATCTTATCGGGAAGTCCATTTTGTATTGTCGTTTACCATTTACTATCACTTCGCTCGACGGTGTTTTTAAGAAATTCTTACAAAATCAAATCTGCGTCAAGTCCCTTCAGCCACGCCGTGACGGCTTGCAGAACTTTCATATCGGTTTGGAATCGCCTACCACACAGATGTTTCTTCAATAGTCAGAAGAGATGAAAATCACAGGGTGCCAGGTTGGAGCTGTAAGGAGGATGTTCTAGTACCTCCCACTTGAAGCACAGTAACAATTCAGTTTGCCCAGTTTTCACATCTGTCCTGCCTTTATCGAACTCAGTGCACCAAACCCACACCTGTTTTTTTTAACAAGACATTACCACCGTACACCACAACAAGTTGACGATGAATTTCTACTGACCCTTCAGACCGAATCACACTACTCACTTCCACGTTTGATCACGTTTCTGTGAGCGCAGCCATTTTCAAAATGATATTGCGAGAGTCTGACGCAACATTTGCATCATCTAACGCCTGTGCGATAAAACTGTAGTCTTCTGCTGCTGCCCTAATGGGAAATTCGAACAAGAGGAGGAATATGACACCCACGAGAGCTCTCGTTACCTCACTTTTGAATCACCCTCTTATTAAATTTAATAAACTCACTGTAAATTATCTCAGTTTTACACCGATTAACATCGGCTTTGTGTGAAATTTGAAAGGAAGGTGTTATTTTTAAGGTCAGGGGTTTTTTTTAATAACTTTTTCCACCCTGCGGGCACTAAGAGAGCCTATTTTGGCAAGCCCATTATGAGACGGCCGGATTGTTGAGCGGTCAAGAGCTCTGGAGGACACGAGAATTTTTCGGGGGTGGTTCGACCGCCTCGTCCCTAGTCCCCATTGGGTGCCTGGCTGAACCCATAATGGGCTTTCTAAAAGGCGCCCTCAGGGAGGAAAAAGTTAAAAATAAAAAAAAGTGATTTTTTTACAAATCGTCAAATTCGGAAATACTTTTGTTAAAATAATAATAATAAAAGGTCTCCTATTCTCAATGAAGTACTCAATGCAGTTATCAAATGNATATGTGCGAGAACCAGAAATTCGCTCCCGCTAGCGTTATTTCTCGCTTTTCGTTTGTGCATGGTTTTCCTTTGCGAAAACTAAATCGCTCGCAACCTCTCGCTCGCTCTAAATTCGCGTCTGCATAGTCGCACCCTAACACCGACCACCATATAATGTTCAGCTCATTTTTATGGAGTGAGTGTTGCTGATGGTTCGTTCCCTTAGACATAACAGTTAACAGGAAAAATTATTAATTAATATAGACCTTTGAACAATGAACTCAATATTATGAACCAATGCAGGCAGTTTCCTAGAACTACATTCTGTTCATGTGTATGGATTGGGCAAATCTGAAATTGGAACATGAGATTGTAACATGCACTACAGCAGTGTTTCTCAACCTCTAATGAATCGCTGCTCCCTTCACTTCAAAATTCTGATGCCGAGGGCCAAGACTAATGCCAAATTCGTACTGCATTGAATAGACTAGCAACTAGTATAATGTTATTTGTTTAATTATTGTACGATATAACGAATAAAATATCTAATTATTCTTAATATAATGTTTTACTATATCGCCCAGAAAATTGTTTTTTGCCCCCAAAATATAAATTGTTACTAATCGCCTCCTCAACATGGAAAAACACCCACATGGGGGTGATATCACCCCCATTAAGAAACAGTGCACTACAGCAAAATGAAGCTTAAAGCAGTATAATGAAGTCATAGAATACACCAACAAAGAATGCAAAGCAATAACTTTAAATGTAAAAATTGTTACAACAGAAAAACAATAGTGGCAAAAATCAAGCTGGTATTTCTCAAAATAAACATTTGAATAAACAGTTACTGAAATATGAATTAAGAGCATTCTTAACTCAAAAGAGATGCAGTTTAAAAAAAACTAAGGCTCTAAGGTTCACATTACAGAGGTGGCAAGCAGGCAAAAGAAAGGCTTACACTGCTACATTGTGTCAGTATGACAAGATCTGAAAACAAATTGCTTATAACATGTGGTTCAAAAAGACCTCTTGCTTTTAAAAATGTCAAAAGAATTCTATGTACAGACAGTTAAAAAGCATGGATGAATTATAATATTTCATGAATAGCTTTATGACTGGAGTAGATAGAGAGAAAGAAGAGAAAAATTTTCTTAGTAATGAATAAGGACCATAATTATATACATTTAAAATTACAATATATGCACATACATATGCACTGCTACAGGCATGTTAAAATTCCTGAAATATGCATTATACTTGTTAAAAGTTCCACCAATATATAGTGAAATTTGTAGATTAAAATGGATGTGTATTTAATTTCTGTCTGCAAGCAAACCTTACTAACATCAATTATATCAAACTTCTTACGTGGGAGGGATAAATATGCAACAATAGGTGACAAGGAATTTGAAAATAATGTTTCAAGTAGGTGTGCAACCAAGTCACTTACAAATAAAATTATACATTCAATAGAATTTTACAATTTCCTATGTTATCTAATAAATTAATTAATTTATTTCTATATACACAATTGTTTACAACATGTTTGAGGATAACTGAATTAATTAACTCAATTTCTTGTCCTACAGTTCTTTCACTGGCTATGGTAGTCATATATTTTTATTTATAACCATGTACAAATGATGAGAAATGAGTAAATGCTCTTAAGTTATTAGCTATTTATAATTAATTAAGTTGATAGTATAATGTTTTTTCCTAACTGATATTATAAACCATACTAAAACTAGTTTCAGTGCAACTAGAATTTACTTGTGATAAATTACTGTTTTGGCTCACTTTGATGATTCATGTTGCACCTATGTAAGAATGTTTCAACATGCTGAAAAATTTTCTAAATTTTACTAAAAAAATTTCAGAGACTTTTTCCATATGTTTTAAATGTCTTGGATCCAAATGCCTTTACATACTTTCTTAGTAATTCAGCATTATATAACAAATATGTACTGGAATTAGAATAAGTTAAAAAAATAAACTACACAGATATAAATCCAGCAAAATTTAATAAAATAATAACGTTTTCAACTGTTTTTCAACGATCAATAACGTTTTCAACAAAAAACGATTGAAAATGTTATTGTTTTATAAAATTTTGCTGGATTTATATCAGTGTAGTTTATTTTTTAACTTAATTCAGCATTAGTTTTGCAGTTTAATCCCTATTGTTTTGAACCAAACTCAATATAACAATCTTTTCTGAGCATGATCCATTTGCAAAAGTTGAACTACGAGGGCTATTTTTTAAATAAGGTCCATTTTTTAATAAGAAGAAAAATACTGTAAATATCATTAAAATATATTTTTTCCCATATTCTACATAATTTCCATTTCTGTTCAAACATTTGTCATACCGCTCAAAAATATTTTTAATTCTGACTTCAAAGAAGCCTGCCATCGGAAGACATTAAACCACGCCGCTTGTCTTGTATGGTACGACAGAATTTTCTAAGGTCACACAATAAGCATCAGAATTGATTGTTGTGCCTCTTGGCATAAAATCTACTAACAAAGTCCCTTTCTTGTCCCAAAAGACAGTTACCATGATCTTTTGTGTTGAAATCGAATAACAGATCATATGTTACAGTCGGAAAGCAACTCAATTTTCTTAAACATTATAAACTTCTATAGTTCAGCAAAAAGACAGATGATACAGCTGCAAATGGCATCTAAACACGCGCAAAGCATGCTGAAAGCAGATGCTCATGCACACTGCTCCAATTGTACATCATTCTCATTCACAAACGGACCTTATTAAAAAAAAATAGCCCTCGTACTTTACTCACAAGAAACTATATTATATATAATTATATATTATGCTTTATAAACTTTATATAAAGTTTATAAAGCACTGATTTACTGTTGAAAATAGTCAAAGATGAAAAATGTGCAACTTATAATGTTATTAATTATCTATTGTTTTCTAACTATAAAAGACTTGCTTAAGAAAATGGGGCAAGCTCAGTAGCAGCTAATGTGTTGCAAGTATACTAACTTAAACAAGAGCCATAAGCTATCATAGACACAAGTGTAAAGACAGCTATGCCTTTTAATTTTGTTATTTATGTTATTCATTTAAGGCATAAGGGTAAGATGGCACTAAGGACAATAAGGGGAAGGAAATGCTACCAGGTTCTGAGGTTTTTTCTAAAGTCACCATTGCTTCATCATTTCTCAAAATATTGTTCCTAAATTAAACAAGTGACTCACCAGCTCATCAATGGTGCCTCAAAATTCTAACCATTTTGTTGAGATGGTCTGCATGGTGATTGTGATGTATTAAGAAAAAGAGAGAAAATAGAAATGATAAATTGAAATGAGAAAAACACATTCCTAAGCTAAAACATTGATGACACCACACATGATTCAAACCAAGCTCATGAGTTTAGGAAAATCTTCATCCTAATACAGGTAACCCTCAGTTTATGCCGGCTCAATTTATGCCTATTCACAATTCGCCATTTTGCGGAGTAATTCCCCGATTTTCCCTATGCTAGACTGATTTTCATTTCAGTGTTCACGTATTTACCAAGTCGCAACATTGTACATTCGTTAAAACAAAGACTTTTATTGAATATATTTATTTTTTCTGTTTAATATTATTGGGTATGTATACATTTGCATTAAATTAATATTAAAATACTAAATGTTTAGGTACCCACGCGTCACATTATTAAACTTAATAGTCCAATAAATGGCATCTGAATCCATAGCCCCAATGAATGTACCCGTATCAGTTTGTTCAGGAAAACACCTTACGACACAGTAGCACTTCCGGCGATCACAAACTATCATTAGTGGAACAAATCTACTTCTCGTTGGCCAGACGATACTTTTTTATTAGCCAGACGATATCTACTTCTTGTCAGTCGGACGATAACTATCTCTCCTTAGCCACCTTGAATATTCCCACTCAAACTGACCTTATATATGCGCTACAACAACCAGTGGTCAACCAATCAGTGTCTCCGCTCATCTGTAGCTCTACGTTGGGTTAATGTATCCTTTCAACTATGGAAAGTTTGACGAATGAACTTTGTGAGTTAGACAATGATTGGGATCGAAGTGCAAATGTAAAAAGAAGCATCACATCAATTCGACCATATTCCGAAATTCTCAATGAAAGAAAGCAAAAATGTAAACAATTAAAGATGAATACTTTTCCCGAAAAATGTAAGAGATCCGAAACTAAAATTTTTAATAAAAACATTTCACTTTATTTTATGATAAAATATATTTTAAAAATTACGTTTATATGTATTAATATTTTGTATTATATTGTATTAATAAACAAAATTATTTGCTTATTTTTCACTTATGTAGAACCTAACCCTATACCTCACTGTAAATATGAGTTCATTTTACGCCGATTTGATTTGCGCTGGCTTTTGTAGGAATGGAATTGTGGCGTAAACCGAGGGCTACCTGTAGTCCTCTGAAAATCCTTAGTCTCCTCAGTCTGATATCGGAAACCAATGAATAGTAACATGATTCAGAGACAAAAATTGAATTCAGGAATTCAGAACAAAACTACTTCATTTACTTGAAATAAATAAAATCAAAAATGAGTAATACAGGGTTTAAGCAGAAAATTTTCTTGTAGCAATTTAACTAATTGCAATCTTATCTCATAACTATCTAGCTAATTTAAATAAAATGGTATTTTTGTCACTAACATAAAGTCATTGCCTCTGACCTAAATACATGTATCTAAGCAAAGTTACAATAAGAATACTTAGTCATTAGCTTAGAATTAAATATGCAATATAAATGAAGATATTTTTTAATGATAAGTTAAATAAATGTTTTATTCTGTAATAATCATTTCCTAAGATTTTTAACTTTTTCATCTTATGATGAAAAAGCTCAGAGGCTTGTTCAGCTCTGATCCTCCTCATTTGAAGTTACATTTTTACCGAATGGTAAGAACAGACTGGATTGTAAATTCTGAAATGACAACTAGAAGTCATTGACTTCATATATATGTTTTTGGTTCCATTAAGCATTGTTTTCTTGAAAAAAAAATCCTCCATTTAAAATTTAAAAAATCTGAATTTTAAAGAACCTAAAGCAAAAAGCTAAAAACCAGAATGTAATACAGTAGACCCCCCATAAAACGGGTTCATATAGTTCTGATACCTATATGATGGTGAAAAAATTGCGACCGTATTCATATAAACATGCTAAAAGAGACTCATAATTCAGTAAAATGTCATTGCTGACTCGTGTCGCGACAGGATTGGTCAAATATAGATCAATAGCGGATATTGCACAAACCGTTGAGTTTAAACAAGCAGCGGACCTACTAAAAACCATTTATTATTTAACGTCCATAAAAATTATATTTATATCAATGATGTCTCCAAAGTTCAGCTAAGTTTTCGCAGAAAAATAATTTATCAGGAAGCACCCAAGCGCCATTTAATGACAAGCTCCACGACGAAAACAAGCTTAAGCAATGGCGTCGTCGAACGGTGCACACTCAGTAAGTAATCCTACAATTTTTTGTTTATAGCATAGTTTATATGGATTATTCCCAAAAAATTATGCGTATTTTGGAAATGTTGAATCGAATTAGTCTAGAATCGATTAATTTTATGGAAGAAAACCTTTCAAACAGCTGTAGTCCGTTAACTGCATATGTGCCGGGCTGTGATTGACTCATGTATTTAATTCAAGACTGGTAGAACATAATTGCATAAATAACAGAACGTATCTACCGTGTTATAAAGGAGGTCGACTGTAGTTATAAACTATTGCATACATTTTTTAACTTTGTAAAAAAATGTATCTTATTAAAATAAATTTAATTTTAAAATAAGTAAATGTTTAAAAATAAAAATCTCATTATTAAATTAGGACTTTTAATTAGTATGTAGAAATTAGTATGCACTTTGTGGCCAATAAAAACAAGCAAGTTTTTGTATTAATATATTTCATTGGAAATTCATTACACATAACCAAGAGCTCTCTTAT